CAATGGGGTACCGCAAAACTTATTGGGTGGAAATTTTGGATGAGACCTTAAAAAACAAGGTTCTGCTATGCGTGGATATTAATGATCAGTGGCACGTCTTGCCTTGATATTACTGGCCAAAATTTTTCCTTCCACTATTTTGCAGTATGCTGTGTGCTGATGGACTGTTCTACTCCATCCCCAAGTTGTCTGCATTTCAGTTGTATCGTATGTATATAGCAATGAAATTGCTTTCATGTGAAAAACACCACAGAAGTGTAAAACTTTATTTAATATACCATACTACTTGGTGCAAAATTCAAGGTGAAGAAACGATGTTCAATTGTACAATTTCAGGTTTGTTAGATTTTAAAAGAAAATTAATTATGTCTGACTTTTCTAAAAAGGAGAAAATGTTTCCTACTGTTTTAAAGAAACACTTCTAAAAAAGTCATTTTTAGAATTCTTACAGTGATCTCCACCACATCACTTTATGTTGTGGGTGTAATAGTCTCAGTCACAGTATATCTCCTCAACATTTAGGAAAATGATTTCTGTAATTTAAAATAATAACTCAACTACCTATCTAAATAATACTGTGCATTAAGAGCTTTCTGCTTAAATTTTGAAGATAATGAGCTCATCCACCTACCTGATGCTAGCAAGTATCTTCCACTCCTCCACGGTAGAATAATGCAGCAATAATCCAGTTCCCCTCCAACTTTCATGCAGAGTGCACTGAGAATAGAGGATTGTGATCTTGCTCCCATTGAAGTCTCTGGAGAAAAAACAACACTCCTATAGACTTCAGTGGTATAGGCTCAGGCCTACAGTCTGCAACCTTTAACAAGTTTCTGTTGCTAACGCAACCACATAGAGTTCATTAATATATTTAAAAGCAAATTTTCTTTTAATACTTTAAACCATTCTGTGCTTACGGCCTGTCTTATGATAGATAGTTTCCTAGTAAGGGGTGTTTACAGTATGATAGTATGCCTAGATATAGGGTAATGTCATAGGGCATATCTACATGGAAGCTAGGAGGTGTAATTCGCACTGAGGTAAATGTATATGTCAGGGGTGAGCCTACAAGCTCCTGAGCCTCCAAGCCATATACGACAACCTTCAGAAGTTCAAGAGCCAGAGTGCACCTGCTGGGGCTCTCGGCTTCAGCCCTGCGGTGGGGTGGTGGGGCTAGGAGCTTCTGCCCTGGGCTGCAGGGGGTCTCGGGGCTTCAGCCCCATAGGAGGTGCCAAATGGGGCTCGGGACTTCAGCCCCACTCCTGCTGAAGCCCTGAGCCCCAGCAGGCGTGCCCCATGGGGTTGAAGCCCCGAGATCTCCCCTCCCTGATGGACAGAAGAAGCCCCTTGCCCAACCACCCCATTGTAGGCAGAAGCCCCGAGCTGCCCCCGACCAGTCTGGCAGGCTGAGAATGGGGGTGCACGGGGGACTCTGAGAGCCGCACTTTAACTGTCAAAGAGCCATATGCAGCTCACAAGCCAGTTTGGCCACCCCCGGTATATATGCTAACTCTGCTTGAGCTACTGCCTGAAAATAGCAGTATGGGTGTGGCAACATGAGCGGCTATCTGAGCTGCCATTTGAGTATTATCCCTCCTGACCCCCTGGCTACGTACTTGGGTGGGTAGCCCAAGACACTACCCTTGCCACCACAGCTTCACTACTATTTTTTGGTGCTAACTTGAGCAGAGTTAGTGCATGTACATCTACCTCAGCTGGGAATTACATCTACCAGCTGCTGTGTAGACATACTCATTGAGAACTCTATTTTCAGGAAGTGCTCAATGAGAGAAGACTGTGCATACATAGAGGAAGTTATAAAGCCTAAATGTTGCAGTGTCTTAGCTCTTTCTCTTTCTTATGTGTTAATATTCTGCGCTTGAGCCTGAGACGTTTGAAAACAACCAAAAGAGAAGTGCAGTTGTTTTCAAAAGGGATCCATGGCAACGTGGCAAATTATGATATAGGCTAATAGCTTCAGGGTAATGAACATATGCAGTTGTCACCTCTGGTGTTTTTTCTCAGTCCAGTTAGCAGATGCTTGTTGTGAACAGCTGCCATGTCACTGGCTAACGTCCGTGGTTTACTGCTGCAGATATTGGCAACATTAGCATAGTTCTAGCCTACAGCCACCAGAGGCCACTGCTGCCCTTTGCCTTTCTTATGTGTAGAGTGGGCAGTGGCAAGGAATCCACCCAGGGGCATCCAATGCAAGGGTAGCAACAATTCAAACCCTTTTCCCTCATTTCACCAAGCTGGGGTGGGCTAAACACCAAATGTGATCTATTGGCAGAGCAGGGGAAGAAAAGGAACTAAGTGTGCTCTTTGCAAACTCAGCTTGCTGGAAAGAAGTCCCAATTACATTCATACAAATCTGATTTCATTCTTTGAGATTACAAATTTTGCTGATAAAGCAACAGTCTAGGTGTAATATAATTAGAGTTCTGTAAGGTGCTTGACTTAGTACTACATGCCATTCTGGTTAAAAATAGGCTTCATTGTTATTTTTTGGAGCTATATTAAATAGATGAAGAACTGGCTAATGGACAGATCTCAGAAAGTCATGGTCAATGAGGAACCATCACTGAATGGGAGTGGGGATCTGCAGGGATTGGTAGTTGACCTGACACTATTCAACATTTCATCAACAATATGGAAGTAAATATAAAATCACTGCTGTTAAAATTGGTATCTGACACAAAGATTGGTGAAATGGTAAATAATCATGAGGACAGAGCAGTCATACAGAGCAAGCTGGGTTGCTTGATAAACTGCATATATTCAAATAATTTGAGATTTAATACAGCCAAATGTAGGAACAAGGAATGCAGACCATCCCTACAGAATGGGTGACTATCCTGGAAAGCAGTGACTCTGAAAAAGATGTAAGGGATGCAGTAGATAGCAACTCAACATGAGTAGAGCACTGCAAATCTGTGGATATCTGCTTTATATCCGCATCCGTGGACCATGTTTGCGTATTGGATGCAGACACAAATTTTGTATCCATGCAGGGCTCTAAACATGAGCTCCTCGTGCGATGGAATGGCAAAAAGGGCTAATGAAGTCCTTAGATGTATGAAGGTTAGTAAGGAGGTGGATTTACCACTCTATATGGAATTGGTGCGACTGATACTGAATACTGCATACACTTCTGGTATTCACGGTTTAAAAAGGATGTTAAAAATTGGAGAGGGTGCAGAAAAGAGCCTGAGATTATCTGAAGGCTAGAGAAAATGCCATACAGTAAGACTTAAGGAAGTCAAGCTATTTATCAAAAAGAAGACTGAGAAGCGACTTGATTACAATATACCCCTTTAGTTTGGGTACTAAAGGGCTCTTTAATCTAATGGAGAAAGGCATAACAAGAACCAAAGGTTAGAAGATGAACAAATTCAAATTAGAAATAAGGGAGACATTTTTAATAGTGAGGGTCATTAACTATTGAAACTCACTACCAAGAGACATGGGGGGTCACCAGCAAGACCTTTCTGGAAGGTATGCTTTAGTCAAATGCTAAGCTCAATGGTGGGGTAACTGGGTGAAATTCTGTGGCTTGGATTAGACAGAAGATCAGACAATATGATCTAACGGTCCTGCCTGATCTCAAGGGCTATGAAAGCTCCCCATGCTTGCTGGATTCCATATGTGGGCAGGGGTGTACGATTCAGGGCAGCATTGTGAGACAGGGAGGTACTGGGGAGAATGTTTTCAGAATAGAATGGGCATGGGAGTAGTGTTGCCAACCCTCCAGGATTGTCCAGGAGTCCCAGGAATTAAAGATTAATCTTTTAATGAAAGATTGTCATGTGATGAAACCTCCAGGAATATGTTCAACCAAAACTGGCAACCCTACGTGGTGAGGATTTTAGAGGCAGAAAAGGGAGTATGTCCCTCTCACCGCTGAGGCACAGGCAGACTCCAGTGTTTGTGAAAACATTTTATACCCCTCTCCCCTCAGATGTTCAAAGTGCACTGCAGCTGCATGTGTGTGTTTCAGGGGTAACTTCTCACTGAATTTGAAGATGAGAAGACTATAGCCAAAAACCTCAGCGATGCCAGCCCACTTGATTTCTGGGTGAGTTTCACACTATATGATTTTTCTTAAAACCCCAACTCCTTCAGACAAGGGATTGGGGGAGACTGTTCATTTTTTAAAAAAATATTAAATTTCTAATTGTCAGAGCTGTGGAGAAAAGCTGGAGCATGTGCACTCCTTAAAGGCTCTCAGACCCCAGATGGCAAAGAAAAAGAGCCCAGCATCCAACATTGCTGGATAAAATCATGGTGTGTTTAAGCCACTTGTGATGGGGAGGGGACCAGGGCCTGACTCAGGCTGGTGTGAGGCAATACTTGTGACCTGATCGTAGGGTTGCCAACCCCCCAAGGATTTTGGCCTGGAGTCTCCAGGAATTCAAGATTCTTTAATTAAAGATTATGTCCCGTCAGGAAACTCCAGCAACAGGTCCCACCCAGGCTGGCTACCCTAGCGTCATGATTTCCAGAGCCTGCCTGGAAGGGTAACGTGTGTGTATGCCAATCCCTGGCTCCACTCCCATTCTGCAGGCACGCGGCCCACGGGTTCTCCATCCCTACCCCGCCGCCCAGCAGCTGCCGCTGTGCGATTGGAACTCCGCTCCGCTCTCAGAATGCCACAGTACCCGGATGTCACAGAGGCAAAGCCATCCGTCATCGTGCACCTCTCCCTCCCTCCCGCTCGCGAGTGCACGCGCATAACCCCCTGCCATTATCCTGGGTAGGGCGCATGCGCCGCCGCCTTTCACTAGAATCACTTTTCTTTCCCTCGCGACCTGAGACCTTTTGCGTTCGCGCGGGTAAAGCGCAAGCGCCTTTGCCGCGCGCATTTCCCTTCCTCCCCACGCTCGCGGTTCACGCGCGTGCGCGTTTCACTTGTCTGGCGCATCTCCATGCAGTTCCTCAATCTCTGTGTATAGGGCCGGTCCATTCTTTCCTCGCCTGCCCCACCCTTCAACCGCCTCTTCCTCCGCCACCGCCGTTGCTGTGTGGGGGGGTGAGTGCGCGCGCGCGCACGCGCGTGTGGGGGGAGGGGGCAGCCATGCCGAGGGGGCGGCCTTGCAAACCCAGCAGGGAGGACAACAAGACCGGCGCCGAGTCAGGTAACCAGCGCGGCCGGACAGGCTCGATGTGCGCCGTGGGGTTCGAGACTGGGGCCCTAGGGGTAGCGAAAAGCCTCCGCCGGGTCCCGCATATAGTCCCCGGATATGGGGGGGAGGGAGGGAGGCCGGGTCTATTGTGTGGGGGGAGGGGGAGCTAGGCCCTGCGGAATGATACTGAGCGGGCAGAGCCCGGGCCGGCGGCCCTGCGCTGTTCCTGCTTCGTTCAGTTCCAGCGGCGCCGCCGCCGCGGCATCGAGCCGGAGCCAGCGCGCCTGGGAGCGGGCACTTCCCGGGGCCCGTTTATATTCGCTCGCATGGGGGGTGGGGGAGCTTCTGAACGGCTTTTAAACGGCGTTGGGGGAGGGGGGTGTGCCGGCATAAGAAAGCGAGACGAGGCGTGTATTAGCCTCCCCGGCGGGTGCGCGTTTCGATGGTGCCCGGGCCCTGCAGCACCGGCTGGGCGGAGAGCGGAACAGGAGCCTGACTGGAGACAGTTTGGCGATGAGGGGTCGCCTGTTGCTCTCTTCCCGCCCCCCACCCCCCAAACTGAACAAATACAGGCTTGAAATATACGACCTAGCTGTCGACAGAGGCAGCCGTGCAATGCAGGCTGAGAACTCGGGGCTGTCCTTGCAAGAAATAACTTTTAAGAGAGTTTTAAAACAGTCACTCCATGTGTGTTGCGCATAAGGAAACGATCAACATAAAAGCCACACGGTTCTGCCTTTTCCTCTGGCCCTTTATGATTATTTATCACTGAACAGATTTTTTTTTTTTCAGGTAGTTGTCTTTGTGTATTTGATAGCACTTTTTATAGTCAATTTTCCCTTTATATCTGGGTCTTTCTCACAGAAACCAGAGAGGGAAAGCATGATCATAACAGCCCAAAAAACTAGCACAGATGCTCAGGTAGGTCTGTGCCTCTGATTACCTTCAACTCGCTTTCAAAGTGATGGATTAGATTGCAGGAACCTGTAAGTAACAGCATAGAAGAGTCCCTCCCATAGAGTAGGGACTTAATTCGTCCTTTGATGTACAGACATTCAACAGCACTCTTTCTCTTATGCAGCAACTGATTTTTTTTTTTATTTTCTCTCAGGAGGTGGGCTAAATGTTTATTATTTTGTGGGATAGATACTCCTTAATCTTGAATTAATTTTTTAAACTCCCTTAAAAGTTCTTAACCCTACAATGAAAGATTTTGTTTTGTTAGATATTTAAAAATCTCAAAATTTTTGAAAATACTATTTAATATTGATTTTTTTTTAAAAGGGAAGTGAGAAAATTCTGCAGTAGTGTCTTAGGTCTTGATCCTGCAAAGACTTAAACTGTACGTGTAAGGACTCTCCTGCGTCAGGGCCTTCCACAATACTTGAATCTCACCCTGCCCCTCCTAAATTAAACTCTTATCTTAGTTGAAATATTACATTTTTGTATTGTTCATTATGCAGGCTTAAAAATAAAATAAATTGCAATATTTGGTAATGGAGGGTAAGCATGTATCATATGTTCTTTCCACCCATAGTCCACAGATGCATATTATGATGTTGAAAGTTGAGTAGAAAATATTTCTATAGCAGCTGAATGATTACCTAACTAATATGAGAATTGGTGGTGATTTAGGTTTTTTTGGGCATGGAAATGCTCTAAGAAGTGTCATTCATATAGCATGCCCTTTATATTTGTTCTGGAGTTAGTTAATTGGAATAATTTATCAGAACTATGGGTCTGGTCCTGCAAATGCTTACACATGTAACTTTGCATGAGTAATCACACTTAGCTAAATGGAACTACTTGTATGGAAAAATTAAATGCATGTTTGCAGATTTGGGTCCCAAGTTCCGTTTCTGCAAGGCGGAATCTATGAGGTGCTCCTTGCAGGATTGGGACTTTATGCTTGCAGGGAAAAATAGTGATGATGTGCTGTGAAACAGGAGATATGTATTAACGAAGAATGTTATGCTCCGTATAGAAAAATCAGACAATGCAAATGTGCTCCAACAAGTTTCAGCCTCAAAGCATGTTTAAGACTTTTTTTTTTTTAAAGCGATTCTTTCTGCTGTTTTAAACTAAGTAATGCAAAAATAAAAAATGACACTCAAACAGTTTTGATTTTACTACAGATCAGCAGTCAGTTTTGTAACAATTGCTTTTGGTGTTTTGAAAACAAAGCAATTATCTTTCAGTGCATGTACTTTATACACTTAAAATGTATACACAAGGCTTTTGAATAATGGTAACATAAATGGGTAAAAATGTTTGTCAAGCTTATAATGCAAGCTGACCAAAACAAAGACATTCAAACTGTATGAAAATTCTGACCTTCAGCCTTGATATGATAAAAATATATCCAATAACATTTAAATCATAAAAGCGGCAAAGAGTCCTGTGCCACAGGACTCTTAGTCTGGATCTGTAAAAGCAGCAAACACGGCTACCCCTCTGATATTTAAATCATACTTTGAACTCAGACCCGTACATTATTTAGGTATAATGTGATGTGCTGAGGACAACTAACTACCGGTTGTTGTATAGGTTATTTTTAAAAAAAGTAATACCAATATTTCTCAAGAACAAGGTGTAGCTAAGTTTCAAAGTGTAAATTAAGCCATGTAATTCAACGGATGCTGGTTATTAGCCGACTTGATAATTTTTGGTTATTAGCAATTTTTTGTCAAGAACACATCCCATAGACTTTAATGTTAATTGGATTCGTATATTAGCAACTGTCATGCTGCTTATTGACAACTTTTTTGATAACCTAGCGCAAGGATCGGCAACCTTTGGCACGTGGCCTGGCAGGGTAAGCCTCCTGGCGGGCCTGGCCGGTTTGTTTACCTGCTGTGTCTGCAGATTCGGCTAATCGCGGCTCCCACTGGCCGTGGTTCATTGCTTCCCGCAGCCCCATTGGCTTGGAGCGGCGGCCAGCACATCCCTTGGCCTGCACTGCTGACCTAGCGTCCCCACTTCCTGCAGAAAACCTTGGCTACAGGTTTGTAGGGCTGTAGGCAGGGAAGGAAGCACTGGGCTGTGCCAAACCCGAGCCCCTAGTGTCAGGGTAGGGTGCAACTCGGAGAGTGCAGGGAGAGGTACTGTGCAACTCTGCATGTGCTCAGTTCTATCTTCTCTGCTGCTGTCCTGACCGCAGCCTCCCTTACCAGCCTTCAGCACCGAGACTTCAGAAGGAGTTCCCGGTTACCTTCTGTGTGGGTGGCAGGTCCCTGGCTGTGGGGCTTTCCGCCTTGGCTGTTGTTTCAGGCATGGGCCTTTTGTTTGTTGGCAGCTTTAAGATAATAGCAACGTTTTGCTTGGAACCAAGAAGTTGCTAATAAGTGGCATCTGCTGTATAATTTTGAATGAAGTATGGATAATTGGCAGATTTATGCAGAGAAAAGGCAATTAATTAGAGCTTGTTAGAAAAATTGTGACAATATTCTTTCAGTGGAATTTCTTGGTTAGTTGAAACTGGTTTGATTTTGATGGGACTCGGACAAAAACCAGGTTTGATTTCAGTGAAGCTTTGAAAGAACCCAAGGAATTCTGCAGCCATCTCGCCTGCATGGCTCCTAAAAAGCCTGAGCTTTTGGAGTCTGCAGCTCTAGGGCAACCTGCCAGCAGATACTCCAGGGACCTCGGGGCTTCTAGGGTATGTCTGACACCTGTGGCCGGTCCAGGCCTGAGCCCAAACGTCTACATTGTAATTAAACAAGCCCTTATCCCGAGTCAGCTGGCATGGGCAAGCCACGGATTTTTAATTGCTGTATAGTTATACCCCTGGAGTCCAAGGCTCCAGGGGATCAGGGAGCTATGGGAGTCCCAGCTCTTCGTCTCCTTAGAGGCCTATAAGGTGGTCAGAACTGAGAGCCTGGAAGCCTGCTCTGAGCTAGCACCCGTAAGGCTTACAGGCTCCCAGTTTCTTGTTAGCCTCAAGCTGAAGGGGTTTGTGGGGGCACCAGTTTCCAAGCTCTTGAACTTTCAGTTTCTACTGTGTCTTTCAGCCTACCAGGTAGAATTTTGTTTAGAAAATATCAAAACAAAATCTTCTGACTTTATTATTTTTTAAAAAAAAGGGGGGGGGGGCTTTTGTTTCATAGAGGTTTTTGTAAAAAAATTTTTATTTCCAAATTGGAATTTTTTTTTTTAATCTCAATGCTCTGCAGAACAGAATTGCTGTTCTCGGCCCAGCTCTGCAAGTAACTAATCCATATGTTGATGATGAGGTTGATTTGTACAGAAGAAACTGTACAGTGTATGTTATGATACGGAACAACTATGCTTTTGATGTGCCTCCTTCATTGATCATTAATAAACATCATGAACAGCAGATGGCTTTAGTTTTCCTGAAATTGGGACTGTGTGTTCGTTACAGGCTAAGGGTATGATTTCCCCTGATTGAGTACACATCCTCGCGCAAGTTCTCATCAGTTGTAGGGATAGGTTGGGCTTTTCCCTGACCTACTTCCCTGTTAGGCTGTGCCATCTTTGGGGAGAGCAAGGTAGGGGCTTGACTTGCTGTAATCCAAGAGTAGGACCTGGGAAAAGATGCCTGCTTTTAGATCTGTATAGTGGGGTTGGGATCTCAAGGGTCCCACAGAACCTGCTGCCATAATAGCAGGAGCAGGTAAAATGTACTTTGTTTTGGGTGGGATCAGGTGGGCAAAACCAAAGCACATTGTGGTGATTTGCAGGAAAATACTAAGTCTTTCTCATAAACAGAATTTCAGTAATGTAAAGCACATTTTTCTTTCTTTTTAATAAAGGTTTTAATACTTAAATTTAAGCGAGGAATAGAAAGAGATTTGATGCCTATTATAATAGGAGCTAAAGGATTTTTTACATAATATGAGTAAGATTTGTTTTATTTTTTTAATGATAAAAATTGCATTTGAATTCTGTTTATAATATTAACCAACTTTTTTTTTTTTTTAGTAGCATGGGGGAATCTGTCTCTTGTGGGATTTGCCAGATCCAAGGTTTTTGTGGGTGGGAGTGGGATAACA